TTAAATTTAAGGATATATGGGAGGTGGGCGTGTCCTTGGTCCAATTTTTTCGAGTTTTTGTGGATAATTTATTTTTTGTTTTAAAAGTAAGCCTGCAAAATTTCGTTGCTCTAGGTAACCTCCTTCTATTTTTGGCCGCCATCTCTATGAGAAGGATCCACTGTGCGCTGGTTTATATCCCAGTGACCGCAGCTGACGAAGTGATGGGATCGGGTGATCTCCGCAATAGCAGCTACAACTTCTACCATGTACATACACTTGCGATCTGCTAATTAAGCCAGCAACATTTTGATCAATTTTGGCAATTTTTCTTTTATTTATTTAATGTTTATTATTTTGTCAATATATAACAAATACCATATAAATCCACATTTCAAACTTCATACAAAAATTATAAAAAAATCTGCAAAGTTTCATCTAATTTTTTTCACTTTTGAGTATGCAATTTAATAGCCATTAAATTCTAGTATAATGAAGTGCAATTTTTAAGTTGCTAAAGAATAGCGGGGATTTTAAATGTTTTTTTTCTAACTGTATTAGGCATTTTTTTCCATACAAAGTATATTCGACAATTTGCTGGCTTAATTAGCTGATCGCTAGTGTGTGTATAAATTATTGTTGTCTTTCCACAACATTTTTCATTAGAAGACGGCCTCAAGCTCAATAACATTGTTAAATATAATTTATTATTCTAAAATAAATTTTTTTCGAAAATAACATTTTTCTAAAATGAATTATTCTCTAAAATAATTTTTTTTTCCAAAAAATAAATTTTTTTCTACAATAAATATTTTTCTAAAATTAATTATTTTCTAAAACATATATATCTATTTTAAAATTTTTTAAGGTTAAAATTTTTAAAATAAAATTTAATTTTGTTTACTGACTGATAACGGTTTTTATAGCCCAATAAGCTCAATGCACTTGTGGCAAGCTTACTGTAAATTTACTTCAGTAAGCAGGAAGTTAGGAAATGTTTACTCCAAATATTATTACCCACTTACTAGCAATTGTAGATTCCACAAAAGTGATCACATTTTTATCTATTTTGATAATGAAAGTACATTCAGTAAATTTAGTTGAAATACAAAAGACAACTCCGACGATGGCAGTGTCGCAAGTTCGTGGCCCCAAAATTGTTGATTTTTTTTAAGTTATATATTTTATTTCTTATCTGTTGAATGGTTTAAAATATATGTGTATTTGAATTATAATTGAATATTGCTTCAAAATAGCACTACAAGCATACAAACATACATACGTTCATTCATGTTGCCCACCTAGGATTGAAGCATTGTATGCGACATACATAGATGCTTGCTTGCATCCTTTGAACCGTAATGAGTTCAAAGCACTTACCTTGAGAGGGTTGAGTGGGTTGCTCATACGCACTGACCGACCATCGAAAATATGTATGCATGCATATGTAGATATGTATGTAGTACATAAATATGAAAACATAAGAGTCCATTAAAGGGTTTCAAGCTATTTTTAAGCATTATTTGACAGTGTTATTTTAATGGTTGTTGTTGTTGTTGTGATTGTGGCTTTTTTTTGTTGTTGTTGCCATGCATGACGTCAATTCGTGTAGCTGCTATTGCCTGCATAAGGAGCTATGCTTTCGCTGTTCAAATGGACGTGTCCTACGTCACTGCCATTATGCTTTAGGTACTATGTGCATACACTTTTCCTCCGTTTTATCATACCATACCTTCCTCATTGTGGATAATTTTATTGGATATTACAAAAGAAGGAAGAACTCTAGCTGCAGGTGACAGTGATTGTGTCGTAGCCCTCCGGTCTTTGATGTTAAATATAATTTTTCAAAAGCGCTTTTATTTTTCTTAAATGCGTAAATTCCGCATTACCTTCCTCTGTTTCAATTTTAAATTTTGTTACATATATATAGCTGGCTGCGGAGGCGTTTTGATAAGCGAATATGACGAATAACGCTAAAAGTGATATGCATGCCTAAGCGTTAGAATATTCAAAGGGCGTTGTATTTTTAGACAGGTTTTAGAAATACAACGAATGCAAAATTCAATTACATCCGTAACTCACTCGCAATTTTCGCACTCATTCTAATCCAATTTCATATTTCTAGATACTACTCCATTCATGCTAACTTTTTCGTGCACCCTTACTATAGTATATGTACCCATACATACATACATATGTGTGTATTTGTAGCCCCTCGAATAACCATTGAAAATTTGCAGTCGTTGTCCTCGTTTCATTCAAGGTTTTTATCCTACGTACGCGATATATGTACAACCAACAAACATACAAACATGCATACATACATATGTACATAGATTTGCACTTAAATAAGTTGGCTGAAATGCATTTACCGTTGCCGGCGGTTCGTATGCCGCTACTTCTGCTGCATAAAGCGACCGCTGCCACACACTCGCTCGTACGTTGCTACTTGTTGACGTCAGTGCTTACCTTCTGTTTTATTTCAGTCGGTCGTTGACATTTTAGCCGGCTGCTTGGCGATTTCACTGCAATAACCTATTTTTCAAGTTATTGCATTTTTTCTTTCCTAATGTATGTACATACATACATACTTACATATATTTCACCCTTGTCCGCGCGCGCCGTTTTCACTTTTGTATGCAAACGCCTCGCCCTCAGTTGTATTGACCTACATTTCGAGCTCACTACTATGTATTTGTTGTTTGTTCTGTTGAATGAACTGAATGCTACATATATACTTTGTTGTTGTTGTTGTTGTTGTTACCGCTGGTGTGATGGGCGCTTACTTCATTTACCTCTTGGGGTTGAGTAGATTCTATTTTTAGCTGATTGTGACCTCGAGGCTACTTACAGTTTGACCTCAATTGGGTTGGTAGTGCTTGTGCCACTATATGCTCGACATGTTATATGAGAACTAAATGCGAAAAGCTGACTCAAAAAAAAAATCCTTGGAAAACTCTTTGATGCTAAATTTGTGGAAATTTATTAATATATTTCAAGCGGCCTAGTAGTATTTTTGGCTGAGTTTTATATGGTACTATTAAACTAGATTTATCCTCGCTTGTGTATGGCATTTTATATTTATACATTAGGGTGCATCACTATTCATAAAAAAAATAAAAATCATCGGTACTGTTCTTTGATCGGAATTATAAAATCTATTATGTTTTGAGAGTGAAAATCGTATCACCCAATAAATTAACCATGATTACCTTAATTGTTCGTTGCGGCGAAAACGTTTGTGAACATTTAAGCAGCGAAATCGGGGAATCCCAGGTGTACGCATGTTTGCATACAATTTTTCTTTGTTGGTACAGTTAAGGTTGTTAATAGGCACTATAGACGGTGCGTCTGACTCGCGAATTATTTCGACTACACACAGTTGAGTCACTCAGAGTTATGCCAAAGTTATGTCGGCGTTACTAACACTTATTTATTTTCACTAACACACCTAAACCGACTCGCGAGTCAGACAAGAAAAACAACCGCAAAACATCCCAAAAATAGTATGTCGAAAAAATCCCTTGTAAGTTCTAAACACGTCTCAAAATGTCCCGAAGAAATCTCAAAAGCAAATACAACACGAAGTATTCCGAAAAGATGATAAAAAATTTTAAGTAAAGCACGAAGACTTTTAGAGGTCCCTAAAAAATTAAGGGCCCGAGAATAAACTGAGAAAATCTCGAGAAAAAAGAAAAATCCGACACATTTCCTTGTTTTTTTATTATCAATCCCTAAAAAATAAAAAGCAAACATTACTAATTATTATTTTTTTATAAAACAAAATATTCGGTAAACTTTACCTAAAATTGGATTTTTTTTTAAATTCATGGTTATCAAACACAAACTTAACGACGCAACCTGCTTAAAATTTGAGAGTTGTCTCTTGATAAATGGTAGTTGACAGTAGTAGTGTTGCATCGAAATTTATCACGCGAGAAATTGAAAGTCACTGATTCAAAAAAAAAAACAAAAAAAAACAGCCAATGCTAGATTCTTTTTTTACTTTTTTATCCAAAAATTGTGTATCAAATATTTTATTAAAGCACTGTTTTTCTCACTTAATCATGCTCTCTCTCTCTCTCTCTTTTATTTTCAGATCTCACGACAGAGCATTGACGCCTGCAAGGACTATTTCCGCGATGACTTAATTAAGGCTGATTGGTCACTAATGGTTGAATTAAAGAAACTTTTTGAAATTTTATAAGCTTATAAAGCAATGCGCATAAATAATATTTAAATACATACACACTTACATATGCATACAATTAAAAAAGCAGCAAATATTGTACTGCAATTAAAGAAAACGAACCAAGTGCTGCAGCACATAAACGTATAAAAAAAAAACAACAGAAACAGAAAAATGCATGTACCACTGCATGTAGATTCTTGCTTCAGCATTAACTATTTACGCTTTTTTTTTTGGTTTGCTCAAAAACCTTCTAATATCCCTGCCAAACAAACTATACAAATTGACTATGTTTTGGCCATTATTTTGTTATTTATGTAGCTCAGTTTTTTTTTTTATTGATACAAAGATATTTATGAAGTTGTTTGGGAAATATTATATATGCTTTCAAAAGCTGTAGAAGTCGAGCTTCTCGAAATACATAAAGAAATATTTATTTATAAATTAAAAATTTTCTTTTTGATTTTTTTCTTTAATTTTTTTTTTACTTCTGACCTTAATTTCATTTTAATTTTTTATTAGCGCAGAAAATCGCAATTACGTAAAAATTACTACATACTTTTTTTCTGGACTCTATAAATTTTATCTGTTTCTGATCATACAATGATTTTTAAAACTAAAATACATGTATGTGTAAAATTTTATGCAACAATATTTTTTTACAAAATTCTTTTTTTAAAGTAATTGTGCATTCAATAAAATTATATCAATGTACTGAAATAAAATAAATGAGTGGAGATAATATTTATTAAATGGAAAAAGTCTACTTATTTTGATTTGATTTTGCGATGAAATTTGACAAGTCTTGTTGGCAACGGTGATTTTGTGTTGGATTTCGAGGAAGACATTGTTAGTGGTGTTAGTGCTACTTTCGAAGTAGACGAAGTCCTCTACTTTTTCAAAAAGTTTGGTGGTTGTTGGTTTATTAGTGCAACCAGAATAGAGTTGGGATTTTCAGTTCATTTCGATGATCGGTCAACCTAGTTCAAATAACTCAAGTGTTCTAGTGCGGTTAGTTCATTCACGTTCATTTTAGTTCACAAAATATCTAAATTCATTAATGAAATCATTGCATTAGCTATCAACAGCTCTACTTTATCGATTTTTAGCATAATGAAATATGGAGTAATACAGTTTCATCATAATACCAATACACAATTTAAAATAGTGAATCCAAAAAATAAAACACTACTACTTTTGTTATAAAAAAAATTCTATATTTCATTTAGACTAACATTCGAAAATAACATAAATACTTATTAGATTTCTTATAAGGAATTCACTTGAGATCATACAGGCTTTGTAATTATTCAGTAAAGATAATTCTTTTAGGTACATGCATACATTTGTATTAGGGATGTTTCGAATGTCATATGTTGCACATTCGCGAATGCGAATTTTCGGAATGCAAATGTGCGAATGCGAATGTTAGGAATAGCATAAAAAAAAAAACGATAATCAATTTAAGTCATCGTTTTTATTACTTAAAGATATGTAAATTATCTATTAAAACCTCGAACGAGTGCTTAACCTATACAGTGTTTTATTGTAGTAGTGAAAGGTCAAAAGGGGCATATTATATTTCTAAAAAAGTAATTTTGCTGCCTTTTCTCCCATGCGGAGATTTCTTAGAGGCTTGTATATAAGGCCGGCTGCACTGAACAATTGCTCACTGGGAACGCTGGCGGGTGGAGCGCTCAAATATTTGCGGGCCAGATCTGTAAATTTGTCGTATTTTAGTTTAGTTTTCCACCAATCTAGAGATTTCTTTAAGATATGCCTTCAATTGAGCTGTAATTTCACATTTTTTAATGTATCCAGATTCTACATCCCAGCCTTCGCTTTCGCTGGAGGCATCTAAAATTATTTCTAGGTTGCTTATAAGAGGTACTTGTTGAAGGCCCATCAATCGGTTATTGTCCGCACCCAGGCAAATAGAGCAAATAGTTAATTTTAAATTTCGAACTAGTTTGTTCGATCAATTCAATGATCTAGTTCATTGAACGAACTATTTAGTGCGTGATTTTCCCAACTTTAATTAATAGGTGTTGTGGTGAAAGCTCATGTTTAGCACACGGCAACCGTTCTTGAAGTTTGTTAACCAGATTTCCCACAGCAGATTGGTAGTCTGCTCCAAAAAACCACAGATGCTTAGCTGATAATAGATCTAACCATTCATTGGCAGAACATTGTCACGACTTAGAGTGGCTTTTTTCAAAGGCAGACGCCCTTAAAAGTTTACCATCTAGCATTACCCTCATACTTACATGTACTTCACTTTGGACAAAACCTGAATAGTAACTCCTTTATGAGTGGAGTAAAGAACACTTCGCCAAGTGCCAATCATATTCAGTGTTCCTTGGGATTCCCTGCAAACAACTGAGATATTGGTAGAAGGGCATGTAATGAGAGAGGCCACAGCATCTCCATAGGTCTGAGTGTAGGTATATCAGCCGTTAAGGTTGTCCAGTAGGAAATCAATTACCTATGTAGTATCAGAGCAAAGGAGAAGCACGGTGCGACGCCCTGAGGACAGCCCCTATAAATTACGCATTGGCAACTTTATTTGCAATGGTAATGGCAAGAAGCCGTCAGTATCATCAAGCTGCACCACATTTATGTGTGCTTCGAAACACATCTGAATGCAAAACAAAAAAAAAAAAAAACGAAAAAAAAGCCCAGCTGCCTTTTTGTGAACTATGTAGTGGAAGGGCACACCACTTGACCATTTTGTCAAATTAGTTTGCATCAACTATAAATAGCCCCAAAAAGAGCCGAAAACCAAAGGCCAAAACTCAGAGGTCAAATATTTAAGGCAACTTTGCATTGCTACATACATACATACATATGTCCTTTCCGCATAACCTTTGAGCTAAAAATAGAATTGTATCATTGCGGCGAAAGCAGTTCCAATTCTAGTGGTATTTGCACTCAAGGCAACTGATTGCGCATGCAAAAGTGCAATAGCAGTAAGAAAACATCAAGGCGATAGGCAACACTAACAACAACAAGCAAGCGTTTTTTTTTATTCACCAAAAATGCAGCAATGCACGCGCTGAAAATGTATCTAGCACCAGAGTAATAGTTCAAGAGTGTGTAATCAGTTCTTAGACCCCAAGTGCAGTAAAAACTCTCATACATTAGTATTCAATACATAAAATTATATGCACCAGTGTGTACTTCATACATATATATATATGTACTTACATATGCATGTAAGTGGTCTCCATTAACAAAAAATTGCCACCGCTTTCATTTCATTCCATGCAAGAAATTTGCTTTATTGTTGTCGCTATTTTCATGCAGTACTTTGGCTATTTATGTATGTGTTTAAAGCCTTTACACGTCCTTGATCCACTTTTACTGGCAGCTCTATCTTGAATGACGTTGGTTACAGTTGGTGCAATATCCATTGACGTATACAAACATACGAACTCATATATGAATGAACATATTATACATACTTACGGGTACATACATATGTACATGGATGAAAAGTACTTGCACTGCTCTGCAAGTTGGTGAGGCTACCAATTTGTCAATGAAAGTAGTATAATTAGCATCCATCGTAGTCCGATTTCTCGTGAATTCTACGAAAATACGATCATTGAATTCTAATACGACCGAGTGCATTTACAGTAGCAAATCGGATTCAGTGATCGCACTTTCGTAGATTTCATGAAAAATCGGACTACGATGAATTCTGTGATAGCCACTTGTATGTAATTTTATCCATCTATTATACAGTGTCTCAAACAAATGACCACGTGTTGATTTTTTTTTTCAAATATTCGTATTGTTTTTCGAGATAATTTTTTTTTGTCAACCGGTTAAAAAACGCGTTGATTTTTGAGAATTTTTTTTGGAGGCTGCTTTTGCGGTTTTTTTTTTGATATAATAAGTTCAAAAACGCGTTGATTTTTTGAAATATTGTTGCTAACTGTCTGCTACACTTTATTTAATAAGAAATTCTTGATTATATTGATAAAAGTTCAAAAATCGGTCACAAAAAAAAAATTCTCAAAAATCAATGGAATTTTTTAGCGGATTTATTTGCACTTCATTGAGTAAAATTGTAGGGGCTATAAAACTGCATACCCAAAAATGCTCTAAAGATTTAGATTAAAAAAGAAATTTTGATAAAAATTTGATCACTTTTACCAAATTTTCTATAAACTACGAAACTGTGATTTATATGGTTTTTGTTAAAGCTGCGACGGTATTTATATAAAAAAATAAAAAAAAATAGCTCGAAAAACCTTACGAATATTAAAAAAAAAATACAAATCAACACTTAGTAATTTGTTTGAGTCACTGTATGTCTTACGTCAACAACATGAATATACATACTTAAGTAATTCGTTGTTGTTGTTGTAACATCATAAAAATTCCTAAAAAAGGTTTTGAGGAAATCAGCTGGAGTGATAGTCCTTGGCAAGATATAGATCTTCCGTTTCGGTTACGTAGACCCGACTGTAGTAGGAACGCATAAGTAGAGTGGAGGGGAGTGGAGTGCTAGAAATATTTTCGCGACATACAATTTGCCTTATTTCCATGCGCTTCAGTAGAATATGGCACCCATGGCAATTAAGCCATGACTTTCTGCTGACACTCCTCACTCTTCCTCCCCTACCTACGTTTATAACGATACGTCCTCTAAACCTTAACCAGTGTACATTAGAGATGCCGTTTTTAAATCTATTAAATCGAAGATAGATTATTCTAGCAATAACTCTATACAAAATTATGGCTAATAACTTAGCAAAACCTCCAAAAATTTGCAAAAGTTGGCAAAAATTGGTGTTTCAGATTTTATCCATATTTTCATTTTGGCCTCCCCAATTACTAATTACTCTTTGAAGAAAAAGTTTGAGTACGCAGTTTTGTTGATGATTGAATTTTAGTTGGTAGAGTGCAACTTAAAAGATGCTAGTACTTTCCGTAAATTTTTGGCGATTTTTTTTCTATTGATGCTCATGCACATTTTCCTCCACATAAAAAATAATTTCGATCAAATATTTCTCGTGAAATTTGAAAAGGGTTTAAAAGGCGTCATCAGGACATTCAGTGAGAGATCTTGTGTTGCGCACGTTTAAGTCTAGAACTTTCAGAATTGCTAGAGTGTCGGAGCAGATAAAGGCCTGTATTTTAGCCTTGGCTCTTCTTATT